ATAATTCAATGCAAGTGGTGATCATCAATTGTATATGTTCAGAGGCCTAGTGTGGAGGATACCATAAGGTCTTGAGGCAATTGGATGGAAAACACAATATTTATGATTACAAACGAAGTCACTCGGTCAGAGTTGACCCGAAACGCAAGAGAAGGGTTTAGAGAGATTTATTATCATTGTCTCTAACGTAAATAAAGTTGCATTTTCAATTCGAGATGTAAAATATTTTTGTTACAGAACCAAAATACACAGTAACGAAAAATAATTTAAAAGCAGAGAATATGTATTGAAATATAAAATTAAATTAAAATTAAACAAGACAGACATAGAATAAACAGAAGGAAATCGAATAGATTACACTGTCACCTTATTATTGTTGTTTATATGTGTTGCACCAAAATGCACTGCACTTAGTGACTACATTAGTCACTCACTATGTATATAATTATTATATTGCACAATATCGGTGCTATATGTGTCCATGAATGCATACCGGATGTGCCCGAGGAGAGGGATGTGATAGGGAGTGAGTATAGCTCAGGTTAATGTCATCCTGTCTCACATTAATTACTGCTTAGTGAGACTTTGGGTTGGGCCTTGTGATGTCAACTCTGTTATTATAATAGGGTTACATAAGTTAACGTTAAAATGTTTTGTTGTTCCTTGCCTGCTTTATGTGATTGTATTTAAAATGGGCGTGATTTGAGCATGACTCAGTAAGTTATCAATATAAAAAATGCATCCAGTCTTTTTTTGCACACCTTGCTTGTTAATAAACCTGCGGTGCATTAACTTTGACAGGTTTCTGTGTAAGTGAGTGTCGACTTCCAGGAATGGATGTCACATCCACTTTGATTTATGAGTTTGACTCAGCTGAGGCAATAACCCCCAACTGACTTTTCATTTCTACTAATAAACAGAACACAATATAGAAAACAACAACAGTGCCGTTCTATACTCTTCAAAATGTTATGAATCTGTGATCTATTTGTAAAAAAAAAGGTTATAGGCTATATTGTTTTAGAGACAAATAAAATACCCTGGTTGGGGCACTGAAACGTTCAACTCTAGACGAAACACTCCCCTCTCTCTGCATCTGATTGAGTTACACAGGGGAACACATTTTGAACAGGTGCCCTCTGCACACACACACACACACACACACACACACACACACACACACACACACACACACACACACACACACACACACACACACACACACACACACACACCACACACCACACACACTGCTCTCCTCTTCTTCCTCAACTCTCTCCCTCTGTCATTGTAACTCGGACTCCCCCGTCTCCAGCCCAGTCGTTCCCCGCCACACACCCCAGCAGAGCTTGGGCTCACTGTCCCTGACACACACACACACACACACACACACACACACACACACACACACACACACACACACACACACACACACACACACACACACACACACACACACACACACACACACACACACACACACACACACACACACACACACACACACACACACACACACAGTAACTGGACATGGAACTGACTCGCAGGGTTAACTCACCTGATATGATGTGTGAACTGTCACCCTCACCCACCAGAAAGAATGATCCCACAGCTGTAACTTGCACTTGAACTGATGCTTGTGGAGTTGTTAAAATGCCGGTCTTTCCAGCAGTGATGGAGGGGGTCATGTTGGCAAGGGGACGGGTAGGAGGACTGGCGTGATGCCAGTTGGGGATACCCTAACCCCCAGATTACCTCCCTCTACTCCCTTTGCGCTTAATGTTTAATAGGTCCCCCTACTTAACTGCGTGTACGGTTATTATATAATATTGGCAGCTGGGCCTTGTAGCTTGACGTCTATAGGCTGTTAACGGTAGATGCAATGTCACAGTAAAATAACACGGTATTTGAAGGCAAAACATTTGTTCAACAACCAAATTTATGTGCACTCAATGCGGTGAACAACATCTTTCAAAATGTATTTTATTGAGGTATTAAGTTTTCACTCACTAATAGCAGTGGTTTAAAAAAGCAAATATTTTCCACTGAAATATTATGAAATGTGTGTGAAGTCCCTCAAAATAATTTATTTCACAATTGTATATCAGTTATTAGTGCTCAATTTTTTCCATTGTATACAAAATAGTTCTACTCGATTACATTTGAGAGATACATATTTTATTTTTGAATGGCAATAGAATAAATAAGAGTTATGATGTATTGCATAATCTATAAACTCTTTGCACCCTAGAATAATATACTATTCTTCAGTTGTTGTATCATTATTATTGTTTTTATTTTTGGGTTTTTTCCATCATTTTCGTGACCTTTTGTACTGCAACATGCCTTTGCATGCCATGAAGGCATTTATTTATATTTTGTATTTGTGTATAATATCGTCTACCTATTCACCGGTGATCAATGTGATTTCCACTGTGATCACATCGCTGCAGGATGTTTCCAGTTTTAGCGGAGCAGGATGTTACGTCTTTAAGAGTTAAGAAACTTGAAACCGGCTCCCAGCCGCCAAAGTGTCTAGACTGGCACATGATGGCGAGAATCAACCAATGGCTCCAGAGCTTTCCTCTGGGGCCCCGCGAGAGAGAGAAAGAGAGAGAGACACACAGAGAGAGAGAGAGAGAGAGAGAGAGAGAGAGAGAGAGAGAGAGAGAGAGAGAGAGAGAGAGAGAGAGAGAGAGAGGGTCAATTCAGACAGAATTACAAGAGAGACTCAGTCATCTAGGTTTCAAAATAAATAAATTGTGTTTGAGTTTTGTAAATTCACGTATTTTCAGATTAATAATAGCTCTTTATATTTTAGATATTGTCTTGATATAATTTCACCAATTTATTTAAAACTTGTCAAATGGGACTTTTGCAATGCTACACAACCAGTTAATCGATATATTAAATAAAATATTTTATTGTGATGATGAAGCAGACGAAAAACAAGGATCACTTTTTTAATGATAAAAGTTTCCACTAAAACCTTAATTATACATGATATAATTATTATTTAAAAAACTCCTATTTACCTTTAAAGGTGGGGTAGGTAAGTTTGAGAAACCGGCTCGAGATACACTTTTTGTTATATTCCATGGAATGCTAACATCCCGATAGCAATGAATATCTTAAGTGCTTTGACAAAAAATCCATACAAAAATGTCATCTGTGGAAGCGTGTAAAAAGCACGACCAATCATTTTACCCGGCCCGTTTAAAGTAACTGGATGGCCTACCTGCCTGTCAGCCTTCCATCTGTGCACAAACTTATCTCGTGCCCTCATTGGTCATGTGCGCGTTCGTGTGTGTTGGAGGAGGAGCTCTGTAAGGAAGTAGCAGATTTCTTCCGGCTGTGTATTTTCAAATTCTAGCGCACTCGAGCTGGTTTCTCCAACATTACCTACCCTACATTTAAGGATAAGGTAATAGTTTTAGTGTAAATAGTGATTATATATGGAATGGATAAATCTAAATTATTAAAAATAATAAAGTAACTTATAGCTCACTCATAAAGCTTCTTTCAAAGTAACTCAACTGAATGTTGCAGTTATGCAATTTCAATGGAGGATATTATTTTGGATCACAACAGAAAAACAACACTTCTTCACCCTTTTTCTGTAAATGTGGACAATTTCCTTTAAAACAATGCATGTTGACATTACTTGCTTTTATTTTGAAAATCACAGTCGATTAAGCAGTTGTATTCTTTTAAACTTGACTGTACTGTGTGTGCAGCAGGAGCGTGTGTGTGCGCGCGCGCGCGCGCGTGTGGTGTGTGTGTGTGTGTGTGTGTGTGTGTGTGTGTGTGTGTGTGTGTGTGTGTGTGTGTGTGTGTGTGTGTGTGTGTGTGTGTGTGTGTGTGTGTGTGTGTGTGCGTCCGAAAGGGACTTGCAGGGGATTGGAGAGTGGAGTAATTCCAGCTCTCTTTAAAACAACTTCTCAGCACGGAATCCGTCCCGGAGTTTGGTACAGGAGTCCCCGACCATCTCTGCGTTACCCAGGGACTCTGCAGCGGGAATATTGTTTCACCACAGCATCAGAAATCTTCGCGATTTCGAAAGGTTTATTTCGGGGTGAAGGAAGGATTTTACGGTTCAAGGGGTTCACGAAGCTCAAGGAGAGACTCTGGAACACTTTTGGATTAATGTTTCTGTCGCTCTGTTTGTTACTGTAAACTGATACTGCTCCTGGAGTGGACTAACTATGGTTTGTGGATTGTGTGCAGGACCTCCACAGTGTTGGGGAGCTGAATGCTGTGTGAGAGGGCTGGCAAAAGTTGTGGCTTAATTGAGTTGGCGACAGCAGGTCACCGAGCAGTGGCTGTGTGTAGCCGTCTCCTTCTCCAGACCTGAAGTGATATGTTTAACGCAGCGCATGATTGAAGATTTCTTTCTAATGCTGCTGGAGAGCCAGAAAACGGCGACCACCGGCTGCGCATGTTGTGCGCACCGTGCACAACCCCCCGGTCTTATGCTACGAGTGTAAATCGATGTGGCATCTCCCGAGACCCGGACGGGACCGACAGGACACATCCAAAACTGTCTAGGTTGTCGTATGTTCAAGTCGAAACGCGCAGGTCTTGTACGGCGACTCTGGAGAAGCCGTCTGGTCACCGAGAGCGACGGGCGGGATGGAAGCAGACGAGGTGAGGGGAGACGGGACGGGCAATGTGGCAGACACTCAGGAAAGCTCCACAGACACGAGCAGCGGCCGGTGACACACACTGACCCGGCTCCGGGACTCACGGGGGAGGCTGTAGACCTGACGGAGAGCCCCGAGAGGGAGGAAGAGGAGCAGCCTGACGATGACCGTGCTGCGGGGGCCATGTGCGTCTCGGAGCACAGAGGCGCTCGCCGGGGACAGGAGGGCGACGGTAGGACGGTGACGTGTTGTTTGTTTGGGGAATGGGATATCAGACCTCGGAGCCCGTATTGGGGCCCGAGGAAAGACGGAGGGGGCGCTTGTCAGTGCGCACCGAGGCATACGGGGCTGGAGGAGGAACTTGCGAGCACTGCTCATGCCTTTTTGAAAAGACTCAAGGAGAAATCTCTGGATACTTTGGTGAAGGCTGTGGAGACCAGAGGAGGGATACCCAGTGAGTGTGTCATGGTGCCGAGCAGTGAGCTGCGGCTCGGGGCTCAGCACATATCTCCGCAGGACCTCCTGTGTAAGGTGTACCGCTGGAGCGACCTGCCTCTCTCAGGCCGCCTCAAAACGCTCAGCCACTGCCAGAGCTTCGGCGCAGGGGACGGGGCAAAGGTGTGCTGCAACCCCTATCACTACAGCCGCCTATGTGGGCCAGGTAAGGTCATCAATAGTGGGGGCTTTCAATCAGAAGGCCCTGAATCTATCTAGAGGAGACTTTATCCCTCAGAAAATACCTTTCAACTTGACTAGTGACAACAATAGATAGCAAACGTGTGTATGCCATGTCATCCTGTCATTCTGACCTGTAAACAACACATTACACATCACGAGGGACCCTGGAACTCCCCAAGAACTCTGTTATTGTCCAAACTCGCAGAGAGTATTATTCTCAAATTGAAGTGCGTCGTATGTAAATAGATTTCATGCAACATAAATATTGATGGCCCAGAATTGTCATTCCCCTGCAGCCAGCAGCTCAACAACAATGTTATAATTTTCTAGTACCCTACTTTTCTTCATCTTATTGAAGCACAACACTGGAGAGAATAAATATCACTTAAACTCTTCTCGTGTTTCACTGCCTGCCCTGAAGTTTTGCAACATTTTTATAATTCTAGCTTTTACAACCATTTGTCAACCATTACTTTGATTTCCTTTCCACATTCCAAACACATTACACATTTATTTAAATTTGCGCAAAACTTTGCTGCTTCCCACATCATCCAATTGAAGGTCGCTCTCAAGTTGCACTTAGGCTCTTTTTTCTCTGACAAGGAGGTCCTCCTCTTGTTATTTAGGTGAAGGAGTGCCGATAATATACAGTTTGCATAGTGCTGGCGCCAGACTGACTCGCTGGGTATCTGACTGACTGAGGACTCCGGCAATTACTGGCTCTGCTCTTAAAGGGGCCGCAGCCACAAACCCAGCTCCACTTTGGACTGCAGGGACTCTCCCAGCAGCATTGCTTTTTAAGTTTACAGAAGCTGCTTTCATACAGAATAAATCCTGTCTATGTGGATGAACATTTCTGGCTAAAACCTTTATGAAGCAATAAGAAAAGCAGAGGATCAAACTGAAAACTCTAAGAATCAAATACAGTTAGAAAGATGTTCAGTGGGATGATACACTTGCAACATCAGATTGGATCTGTACAATTTAACTGATAGGAGTTCAAAATCCAATCCATTTGATTTCTATAGCACATTTCTAAAAGGAAAAGAAAGACAATGCATGTTTACAGTTATCAAATCAAATCAGGTTTTATTTATATAGCACATTTAAAAGCGATTTTTGGTCGAGCCAAAGTGCTGTATATGTAATAAAAACACATTACTACAATCACAATAAAAGACAATAATTTACAACAGAAATATAAAAAACACAGGGAATAGTCAGGTGTCATACTCCGCTCTGACTAGATTATGTACTTGGCACAAATAGCTCCTTAGGTTTAAGGTACAAAGAAACAAGTTGTTTGAATAGTCTGCCTGGAGAGTAAAGATTTATGTAATTTAGATTGGATTGAGGATGAAGTTAATTTATTTAATCTTCTTCCATTTATTTAACAAAATGTTCAGTTTAAATGAATCAAATGCTCGTGTACATAATCAGTTGTGTAAGACTTTTAATTGTATCATTCAGCAGCTAAGCAAAAGCATAATTGGTTCTCAGTGTTCTTTCTCAGTTGCTCATTGAAGACCATACAGCCTTTAACTTAACCTTAACTTGTGTTGTATTTCCAGAATCACCTCCTCCCCCATACTCTCTGTCCCGTTCAGACGAACACAAGCCACTGGGTGAGTTTGGAACCACATTGTAAAAGAGAGGGTGCTCGTCACCATCATATTTTTAGACTGAAAACACAAATTATCTTTGAAATGCTGCTTGTGTTAAAGGGGTCATAGCATTGGTCGAGTTTTACCTGAGCTCATCTTTTGTTTTGATGTGTCTGACATCTGGAGTTTATAATAGGGAGGCTCTGTTTGTGCAAACAGGCAGTCTGCTCTGTAGTTTGAGGTTCCAACTAATGCACATTCATTCATCTTTAACTGTCATCCTCAAAGGGATACAGTGTGATCTTAAACTTGTTTTTGGTACAAATAATCAAAATGATTGGTCATATAAAACTTAAAATAAACACATTTGATTAACTGTAGCCAGCAAAGGTTTGGTTTTTACTTGAAAAATGGCTTAAAACTTACATCTGTCACCAAAAAACAAACTTTGATCAATATCTCACTCTTCTACTGTGTGCTTTTTCTGCTTTCACCAGACTCAAATCTGTCTTACACTGAACCTGTGCCCCCCCTCACCTCCAATCCGCCTCACCCGACGCCAAGAGACTACACAGGTGAGTCACTTGCTTCACTACTGCAGAGCAGCATGAACATTGTGACCAGGCAGATGTTTGATTCAGCAAAGTCTGAAGTTTGAGTCATATACTCTTTAGAAGTGAACTTTTCACCACAAAGAAGTTTGGAAGCCCAGATTAAGGAACTTTTGGAGTTGTGCATTCACAGACGCAGACTCTCATGCATGCAAACTCGCAGAGCACACATCCACTCTGAATGTTTAGATAGAAGGATACATTACATTTATTGGAGTTATTAAGTTTGACTTTACTTTGTGTTTTCAAAGGCTGTTAAGACGAACAAAAAGTCGACAGCATAGAGCTTCTATTGTCAACGAGGCATGGGGGGCTTGGTGGGCTTGGTGGGGGTCTGGGGTCTCTCGCTATCTAGATACCATTCTGTCTCTCATTCCCCGACTCTCCCTCACTCCATACGCTTTCTCCAGAGCAAAATATTTCACTGGGATGAAGCTGCTCCCAATCCCCTTTGCCTTTCCAACCACCCATCCCCCTCTATCCCTCTTTCTTCCCTCAAATCCCTCCATTCCTCTTGGCAATTGAGCAGTGGAAAGAGGCTGGCATTTTGGGGGCGGGGGAGCCGAGCAGCTCTGATGAGGCGGAGGTGTAGAGTTTTGTGTGCGTGTATATGTGGAAAGAGGGGGGCCGAGGGCTGCGTTTGGACAGGAAACAGCCCCCTCTAGATGATGAAACTGGAGCTTTATTTGTTTACGTGCTGGGGTCGGGTGGAGAGGTCCTTGTAGCGTTAGAAGAAACCCACAAACCCACTCGATCAAGCCTCCCCGGACTCACTTGTGGACGGTGTTGAAAGGTGAATGGGCACCTATGAAGTCTGCGTAGTGTAAGTCACCACATCACCGGCCTTTCTGAAGAGTGTGTTGCTCCCCAGTGAGACTTTTTTTGGAATTGTTTGTCCGTGGTGCCCAGAAATATACTTTTTGTGTCATTGAAAACATTTTACGAGTCCTCCTGTTGCACACATCACCACTTTTAGAAGATATAAGGTGTTAAAAACAAGATGTTTTGCTTGGATCAAGCTTTCAAGGTGTTTAATTTCCCAACATGAAGGCCTAAAAGTAGTTCTCAAGCCTTCCCTTATGCTTAAACCTCTATTTATCATTTACTTTGTAAACCTAAAATAATCCGTCTACCAACAGTTTGTACATTTTTAATTGTAGAATGTAATTCACAAACAAATGCAGACATGACCTCAGTGTCCATTTATTTACGGTCCTGTTTACAATGTTTTATATAGAACAGAGGGTTAAGATAAGTCATTGACATGTCTTTTTAATATTAAAAATCACACTCTTTGACCTCCATTACACACTTTTGGGTTTTGAAAAAATCTGCCTAATTTCTAAATGACTTTAAAGATGATTTAACGGAGAACAGTGTTATTATTAAAAACGTAATCATCACAAATCTGTTCAGTCAAGGTCACAGGGGAGAGGATCACTTTATTGTCTGCCTGTTGAAATGAGTGGAAATGGATCAGTTTTCTGTTAAGATCTGGTATGTTTGTGTGATTTTCTGTGTGAGTGTGTGTATGTGTGTGTCTGTGTGTGTATGTGTGTGTGTGTGTGGTGTGTGTGGTGTGTGTGTGTGTGTGTGTGTGTCTGTGTGTGTGTGTGTGTGTGTGTGTGTGTGTGTGTGTGTATGTGTGTATGTGTGTGTGTGTGTGTGTGTGTGTGTGTGTGTGTGTGTGTGTGGGTGTGTGTGTGTGTGTGTGTGGTCTCTGATCCCCTGCCCCCCGCACCAGAATGCTGGAGCCGAGAACTGGAGCTCAGGCCAAGTGCAAGACTAGGAAAGAGACTAAACAGACGTGGCCAAGTATTCTGCGTGGAGCTTTTTCAACTCTGACAGATATAAGACTTTTCACTTGAGTTACAGCTGGTATAATAACAGGACATATGCTGAACATAAAGCTTGTATAAAAGAATATACTGTAACCTTAAAAATACAAAGCACAAACCCCTTTATGTTGGTAATCTTTCAAGAGTGTAAATGAATCTTTTTCTGCAGGTGATCCTCTGGTGTATTTTTAAAACCCTGTGATGTTTTCTTTAGAACAAATACAAGCATTGAACATGTGCTCTGGCACTTCAGCATCTTTGTTTTATTCCTATATGTATCCTAGCTTGGAGGAGAAAGGAGAAAAAAGGCTGCAGCAGCAGGGTGTGTCCATACATACCTTTGCCCTGGCCTCTTTTATCATTCGATCAGCGAGCGCTCCCTTTAAACCGCAGCAAACAGCAAGGCTTTGAAAAGGGAAATGTCTGCTGGAAGTTTAGTAGGCTTATATCTACATGTACCTACCTCTGTGACTCCAACACAAAGTGTCATTCAGCTGTTTACTTTCTGGTTGTGTGTGTGTGTGTGTGTGTGTGTGTGTGTGTGTGTGTGTGTGTGTGTGTGTGTGTGTGTGTGTGTGTGTGTGTGTGTGTGTGTGTGTGTGTGTGTGTGTGTGTGTGTATGTGTATGTGTGTGTGTGTCCTGATAGAACCCCTATGTGAGTCCTGCGAGACGATCTTATCACTAACTCAGACAGAAATTCCTCCCTTTCTCACACACACACTCACACACACACACACACACACAGTCACACACAGTCACACACACACACACGATTAGCTGGAATGAAGTCAAAGTTCTGCTTGTTAACTTTCATAATTGATATATAACTATAGTAAAAGCTGAATGCTTGCTGTATTGTATTTAACATAGCTACTGTGGACTATCTGCAGTTTTTTTCCCGAATCTCATTCCCTGTTGTGATACAGTATTTTGGTATTGAAGATGATGAAAAACGCTGCTGTAGCTTCTACAGACTGAAAATGACGTCTGCAGGAAAGATGTGTCATTAAATTGACAAAAAATTACATAATAAATTCCTTCCCAATAAAATCGGGCTAACAATTGCCGTTTTATTCTTTGACCTCCGTACAATATCTGGAGAATAAGGCACACACTTTGTCCGGGGTTTCCCTTTATCAGATGTAGCACACATCAGGATTGTGTCAGATAAATACTCAGTTTGGTTTTGAGGAGGGGTAAAGCCTGGGTAAAACATAGCAAAAACAGGATATGTCTGTAGAATCAGTTTTTCGCCGGGGAAATCTCTAAGCACCACAATACTTATATACTTCAGAATGCTATTTTGACACATATTGTACCATATAAATACAGGGGTCACTTGTTAAAATCAATATTTCAGTTTTAATTTTGTTTTTCTACAATTATGTTTTGTGTATTAAGTCCAGGGAAAGTCAATTAAACTAGTGTTGGGTTGGTTTGATAAAATATCTATATAACTTTACTTAATATTTAAAAAAACATTTTCTCTGCACTCATGGGAATATCAATCATACTTGTTATTCGATTTTGATGCTGCCCAAGTTCATGATGGGATTTTGATTAAATTAAGATTAGTGGTTCAACTCTCCGATAAACACAAATGAGACTAATGAGAATGATGCCATTTTTATCTGAAATAATTTTAGAGTGTACGTCCGAGGACAATGCCAAAATAGTTAGTGATGTCCTTGTCAGCTCTCATCATATGACATCATTGTTCTTGTCAAACGTCTGTCCACCTTGTTGTCATTAGGCTCCGGCTTTCGGACATGTGGAAACAAGTAAACCAATGATACTTAGTGGACATTAGTATGGCCTCGATGCACTGAAGTAAGACAAGAAGACTGCTCCCTCTCTGCCCTCTGTAATCATATTTTGGTGGCTTGTTTGCTTAAGCAGAGCAAGGTATCAGCCAAACATCCTGTCTCAAAGCCCTGTCTGCACTCGCTGCAGCATTAACCCCATGAATTGGCCCTTTGACTGATGGGGCACGGCCCAGGAATGTTGGGAAATTGGGAAGGTGAGGGGGAGTAAGGGTCTCGGAGTGAAAGAAGTGGGAGGGGGGATCAGGGGGTCTGACTCTGGAGAGTGACACCTGATACATGTTTGAACATATTGCCGTTAATACTTAAGAAACACGGAGCTGAGCCGACATTCTTGGAAGCTTGGGAGACAATTTTAAGAGTTCGGCTGCACCGTGCTGTTTTAGTGAGTTTAGCTCAGAAAGCGTGAAGCTGTCCAGGTCAGTCCAGGTTGACACAGTTGGACATGGTTTTTGTAAATCATCTGCTGAGGCTCGCGAGTAAAGACTTGAGTCACAGATGCATGAATATGAAATAAGATACCTTTGTAGAATTCACTTCAATATTTTGTCTTGCGAAGTGAAAAATAGCACAGAGACAGAAAGTATACAGCCAAAAGATGCTGCGTCCACTGAGAATGTATCTGTGTAAGTCTGGATGGGTCCTCTCAGTGACCTGAACGTCCAGCCTGTTTTCTGGCACGCGTACAACACTTTCTCTTATGCCTGACTGAGACACATTAGACTATGGAATTCAACATCAAGTGCTGGCCCATTAAGCATTTGCCATTTCCTCAAATATTTTCCATCACTGTACAAGCAGGGTACACAGCACACAACTCACTCAGAGCTCTGTTATGTCAGTCTGGTCAATTTCTCCTGAATTTTTTCACATTTAGGCTCACTACCAAAATCTTAACAATGTTATTAAAACCCTGTCCCCTGGTTTAAACACAGCTAATGTGGAACAGCAATAATTGTAGTGAGGAAATGTTGTTACCGAATGTAACAGTGAAATGTTTACTGACAAAGTATTTTATTTGTTTTGCCCCCAAAATGGCAGCTCCTGCGATACAATATCCATTCATTTTGACTACCGCATTATTAAACATTTTATGGTTGGTTCAGTCAATGCCAACACTTTTTAAGGAACGATTATGGTCTCTGTTTATACAGATTAAGTCTGAAGCGATTTAAATCATGAAAAACAACATTATTATCAACATTTTAGTAATACCACAATCTTGCCTTGACCTTGACCAAAGTGTTTTTGTTGCCTAACTAACCGGGACTCGGGGTGCAAACCCCGGTTTCTCTTGTCAAA